AAGTCAGAAGATTAAAATTAGCCAAAAGCATTATTTTAGAGGGTAAATACTCCCTTTGTCACACTTTTTTTTACTTCCTCCGTCTCAATTTTCATTATAATTTAGAAATCACGAGATAAAATTTCAAGAATTTTTTAAAATGTTGCATCAATGATATCTCTATGTCAGATTTGAGAGTACGTTAATTACACTTTCGTCAAGTACAAGTGTGGATTCATCTAAAGTGATATATCACATGTAAATTCTGCAATATGTTTTCCCAAACATTACTTTTTATATTTTAAATTTATTCAAAGTCCAGAGAATTTTTCTCGCTTTAGCCATCGATAATTGAATTTTAAGTCGGACATCAGTCAAACAAATTCATCATCAATCGATCAACATTTTCATTAGTTAATGACATCTTCATCGATCAAATTTTATAACATTTATTTATTTAGATTATGTTTAATTCACTGTTTGACTTTAAAAAGTAAAAATAGAAAGAGTTTTTAGGGAGTATAGGGACAGATGGAGTAGTAAATTTTGAACCACATCTCAAAAGTACCAAAAAATGCAAATATAGTCTATAGACGTAGTTGAGCTGATTGAGTAAAGAGTGTTAAATAAATAAATTCGAATTATGTTAAGCATAAGATCCACAATTATCAAGTGCATACCCTACCTTTTACCAAGTCTGTAATTATAGCTCAATTTACTTTTTAACTATTCAAGCGCAGGGATAGAGCTCATCTTTACTAGAGTATAAATTCAATTTTTTTTACTGCGGAGTATATTTCAATTCTACTACTTCGTACAAATTTAAGTCATGAATTTAAGATTGGAGTGACAGAATTTTTTCTATTGAAAAAGGGGTATGCCCTGTGTTTCACGAGCACTGCTCAGTAGTTGTTGCTGGTGAGAGGGAAAAAATAAAGAAGATAAAAGGATCATTCTTTTGGGCATTTTAGACCAGAATGGAATAGGAATGGAATAGAGAGAAACAAAGGGGGTTTACTTGGGAAAGACAGACATAGAGAGATACATAGAGAGAGTGTCTGTTTGAGGGGGGGAAAAAGGAAGAAAGAGAGAGATGGTGGGCTCAGGAGCATCAGATAGGAGCAAAGAAGCAGTTGGGATGATGGCCCTTCATGAGGCCCTCAGAAGCGTTTGTCTCAACTCCGACTGGACTTACTCAGTCTTCTGGACCATTCGTCCCCGCCCGTTTGTCCCTCTGTCTCTCTGTCTCCATTTCTTCTTCAATTCCTGTCTCCTCTCTTCTTCCCCCCCCCCCCCC